AGTCTGCCATAGTACAGAGCCAAAGCATGGAATATAAGGTATGAGCACTCAAGCATACACATCATGGCACATGATGGAGGATGTCAAAATGCACTTTGATATTATATAAAGTGATGAAGAATGCAAAGGATAAATCCTTTGCACTTAAACCTCCAAAGCAGGAAACTTTCTTTGATATTTATTTGTTGCAAGTCATTAAGCTGCACAGCATTGTTGCTTTCTCAAACACCCAACCTCTAATTTGATTTTTGTGGGTGGCTAAATTTGCAGGAAGCTGATGTTACTATGTTTCTTCCTATGAGTTATATGGGCATACTCTCAAATCTGTCCATTAAATAAGAAGTTGAAGGAGCCGGAAGGTGCTTATTATAGCGTGCTTTGAACAGTGGGAGCGGTTATATCTATGTTTGCATGCTTTGTTTTCTTGTAATGTTTAACTTTAAAGACTTTGTTTCCATCTTGCTGTAATCACCATGTGGAAAATGTGAAGCCACATTCCTGATTACCTTACTTCATTGCTAAATATATTAGGGGAGTGATTGAGTTCACTTGCAGTCAGTGGTGTGGAAATTATTCATTAAGCTAATCTTTATAGACAATAATTAAAATGTTTTTTCGGGATTGGTTCATTGATCCTTAATATGTCCAAGTAGTGTGACCTGCACCTCAAATTGACTGCACAACCTGAGGCAGATGGGTGTTGGAAAAACAAGGCAAACATTTTCTTTATTTTGAAATTTTTTGAGTATCTACATGTATTTTTATGTGGTTTAACTCAAAGTTCAATTTAAAACACCAGAATTTTTCACCTCATGTATACATTTAAGTATCAGAAATGCTTCACACACCCACCACACACCATCAGTCTCTGTCTGAAGGCAAATTATATTCTGCCTACACCAGGCCAGTGTGTGTGCACGCACGCGTGTGCATACGTGTGTGTACGTCTGTGAGCTAATCTCATTTATTCACCTGTGCTTCCATGCATGTCCGCAAATTGTTCGGCGTGTATGCTTTTGTTTCTGCCTGGTCTGCCTCGGTATTTAATTGTTTACGTGTCTTAATGTTTCTGTTCCTGTAGAAAGACAAAGGAACAAAGACTATTCAGGGTGTAAAATACAATTAACAGAAGCAAAGCCCTTTCACAGAAGAAGTGGGAAGCTCACACAAAAACGCTCACATATAGCTGTCTAATTTTCCACTGCTATTAGCTTAACCTAGCATTGTGAATTATATTGATGGGCTGATGAATGCTAACATCAGCAGCTTTCCCTAATGTTGTTCCTTATTGTGATCCTAACTGGGATAGCTGATCAAGTACACACAAACATGCTGGGATGTAAAAGTCGACCGTTGGTCTCACACACACAAAAAGCAAACACAAAACAAAATCACACATAGTCATGTGCATGCAGAATTCCCTTTGAATCCACATAAACAGCCTGTACTATATACTGATACCAGTGTGGATCCATACTGTGGGTTTACGTGCAGATGAGAGGTTTTTGGAAGGTGATAATATAGGAAGCATCTCCCACACTACACGGACAAATGCACATAACAAACTGCTTTGCCATGAAAACCTGTGTAAAGAGGCTCCCTGTGCACGACTTGGTGCTGGTGTTAATGCCAGGCTTCGAGATCTGCAGTTATTGAGTCAGAAGAGTGTTGGAGACTTTTACTCACTATGTGATTCAGCACTCTGCTACCCTGTCGTATAAGTTTACATTGTCTGCCACTTTGTGGCTGGGTTGTTGTGACAGCTAAATGCTTCCCCTTTTCGACAACAACACCACTTACAGCCGGTCATTGAATATCTAGACCCATGTCTTGCAACAGTGGCAAACTGTTACAGCACTATGTGCAATTTCAGTAGGAGCTTTAGGAGAACCCAGTCTTTCACAAATGTTTGTGACAGACTGCATGGCTAGGGTTTGGCAATGGGACTAAAAACACCTGAATTCAAAAAGGGAGAACATGGTGAATCTCCAGTTCACTTAATTTGAAATCTATCATGTTACTCTCTCTAAGGTAAACTTTAACTGAAAAAATTAATATAACAATATTGTGGAGCTTCTTCTATATTTGATCACTCCTGTTTTATTTCACAGGAGACTGCTGCAACACATTTTTGAGTCCACGGAGGAAACAATATGATATTATAAAGAAGTGACAGACACTCTGTCTGTTGGAGGAGTTATCCATGGAGCTTCAGAACTGAATCTACCTTCTGTCTCAAACACAGAGACATTTACACACAGTACAACAAACACAATACACATCATGTGTATGCATATGCACAGCTATCTGTTATATGTGTACGATTATATGGCTATAAGAGTTTGTATGTAATAGAAGTCACTGTAATAAGCTTCACTTTTCTGATCAATATTATATGCAATTTTTTTAAACCTTTAAGTGCATTAGATTAATTTAATTTCACATTATCTGTAAAAGTATACTATCCTTCCAGTATGTGCGCATCCATATAGGTAATGGTCTGCATATTATATGGTGCTCTGTGTATAGACGTATAGACTCTAATCAATCAATCAGTCAATCAAATAATACGTATAGATTGTTTTTCTCCAGTGTAATTTTTAGACGAACCTTGCGTGTGTTTTTTGGTTTTGTTTGTGTTGTGTTAGTGTTTTGTTTAGTTTTTTACTGTTAATCATTACATAAATGCTTGCCATGATAGATTATTTATGAAGGCAGTGTTCTTGTTCTTACATGGAAAAATAAATATTATTTTAAGATACTTTTTGTCTGTCGCTTTTGTTTGTTTCCCTTCTGAACAGAGGCAGTATTAATTACATTTTTTTTCTCCAAGGAAGACGTTTCATTCTGTGTCACAACAACAGGAAATCTCTCGACGCTTTTGAAACAGTCTGGGCAGATGACGCAGTTGTGGATGTAGGATATTCTGTTCTCTCTGAACTGGGACTGGCTGCCTGATGGCTGCTTAAATATAAACAGACACCATTCATCATATTTTGACTCTTTAACGTTAGGCATGGTCAAAAGAAAGGCATGTGACTGAATAGATTCCAGCTGTCTTCACTCTTAGATCTGCCTATGTCTGCTGTTGGTCACGGGTGTGCATACATGTCTGCACGAAGTGAGTGAAGAATAAAAACATTTATATCCAGTGTTTCACCCAAAAAAGATGTGCCTCTGCTGTTAAGCAAAACTGGGTATAATGAGTCATTGTTTATTGCAATAGGAAAACAGTGAATCATATTTAGCTGTAACAAAACAGTCCATTTTCCCATAAAGGTTTCCATTAAAATGCCCTTTTTGTTCTTTGGCATAAAAACAAACCTCCTATTTTCTGTGTGTTTACTTTCAGAGTTCAAAAAACATACAGCCTGTACATATTAAATAAGTAACAGCATGGTTCTGCTCTAACACTTAGAGCATGTTTTGGTTAGCAGCCATGTAAAAAACAGCAATGCTTTGAAGTCCTCTCGGGTTAAAGATTTGCACCATGACATTTCTACATAACTGTAACAAGGTAAGAAGTTAAACCACTAGAAGTCAGGTTTGATATCGTCAGATGTATATATGCTGGGTGAGGATGAATCTTGGCCTAAACCAACTACTATTACCATGTGGGTGGTGATAAGTTCTGAAACCAGGATCTTTTTCCAACATTAAATCTGCACTAATCCGTATTTTAAATAAATAAGAGCTGCCATGATTGTGTGCAGTGTTACAGTGGTCACTATAAATGTCAGCCCCACAGAGAGGTGGTTAGAAACACAAGTGATTGTTAATATTACTCTTTGTCAACAGAATATGCAAACACCTACTTAAAGTGTCCAAGCAGAACTTTCTGGTAATATTCTGTTTTGTTTCTTTCATATTCTTCCTTACCTTTAATGAGTAAAAGGAATTTGTGACACATTCACTACTGCAAATTAAAAAAGGGTAGCCCAAATATAAACTCAGGGGACATTTCATTAGGTGATGTGATCAGTGTGGATAAAATCTTTTAGCGACATTTCCAGTAACTTGCTGAATATTTGCCATGAAGAATTACGGCATACCTAAATAAAGTTGCCCTGAAGCATGTGCTTCATTAATGGAATGCCAGTGTTTATCCTAAAGAGAGACTGGACCGAGATTATTTTTTTTAATCTTTGCCCATCTACTTCAGCTTATGTATGTTTTTTTATATATATATATGTGTGTGTATTTAAGATTGTGTACATTGTTCACATCACCTCCACAAAAATGTAAACTGTAGAGCGTGTTGTTGGAAGAACTGTATTGTTTGTAATTCAGGTCTTAATGTGAAATATATGAAGATTTTGCATGAAACATATGAAACAGGGCTGTATATATGACATAGTGATTGTAGTACTATTATAGTACTAGCCAGTACAGTTGACTATATTAAAGAATTAGGTATGTGACAGAAATCGTGCAGTTGTTATTTTTCCACCATTGCAGGTCTGTGAGTTACCCATGGCTACTTCCACTGTCATTTTCAGATGTAAGCACAATATGTCTGCTTCCTGTATTGTATGCTTTTCATCATTTTCTGTACGTATCTGTACTTTTCTCAAGCAAGGTAGGCGGAAGCAAGTATACTCTGCTTCTCGTAAAAGAGCAAGGCCTTGCAATGGCTTTGTTTGAGAACATGTTCATCTACATTCTACAAATTTATTTTAGCTCACAAAGTAATGCAGAGACTATATATACCATGCCAAGAAGAAACATTCCATACCGAGAAGTATTTTAACCTAACCCTAGAGCTGTAACATGGGGCTGTTTTGGAGGACAATCACAACCAACTTGTTTTGTGGTGTCAAATGGAGCAGGCGCTCCATTGCAAAGAATGCATGGGGGATGCCCATGGTACTATTAATAAGTAAATATTAATGGGTCTGGTATGTTCCAATGTGAGCCATGTGGGCTGGGTTGTTTTTTTTAAGTGTGTGCTAAATGAGGCTAAATAGAAAGGGCGCATCCCCGCATCTGGGGGGAAAGTGTGTGTGAGTATCGGCTCTCTGTGCGTATGTATGAGAGAGAGAGAGGGCGTGTGTGAATACTTTAGGTTCTCCCTCAAACGCCGCCGATTGCATTCTTCTCTTGACGGGCGGCGAGGAGAGCGTCGAAGCGAGAGGCAAGGAGAGCAAGAGAGATATTAAGGCTGAAACTTCTCTGCAGACGCTCCTGAACAGGTCAGCTCCTGAACGCTGAACACTGAACGCTTCATATTCTTAGAATATTCTTTTAATACTTCTGCATATGGGGAATTACAGTGCGGGGCAATACGGGACCCTTCTACTGTTTTTCTCCAGCATCGACACAATGTTATTGCTTTAACCAGTGAAACTTGTTTTGTGGTGGGTTCATGCGCATCCAATATCATTTCAGGCTTTCATTCATCATTTCATCATAAATGTGAGTGGTACTGTTGCAGCGCACAGATCCACTGCCGGGCACTGGTATCGATACGCTGCGCATAGCAGAGGAATCGATGAATTAAAAGCTAGTAGGTATCAGAGATGCGTGCAGGAACCAATCATTTGCTCTCCTTACTGGAGGCACGCAATTGATGTCCCGTCGTCGCGCATCTCAGTTATTTTACGTATTTATTGGCGCACGGAGACGGGAATGTTTGATTGCAGCACAAAATGAAAAAAAAAATAGGGGGGTTTTGTACACACATGTCGCCAATGTGTTCCAGTAATGATAAGTCCGCACGAACGGAAGCTTATTTCCGCCTGTGTGCGACACATGAATACTGTTACTCACTGACTTATTTGCCCTCTTATGATCCTGTCAAAAGAGGGCACGAGCCACGTTTCCCCGCATAGAAACGGGTACGAAAACAGACACGGAGCGCATTGCTGAGGGAAAACTATCAATCACAATCCATTCTCTTACACCCGAATATAAATGTCCGGACATCACTGGCTACTGGTATTGAACCTAAATTAACAATGGAAATGTTGAGCGGAAGTAGATATAGAGTTTACTCACATTGTAGCTAAGTATTTCTTTCATTTAATTAAATCTATAAATAAATAAAAGGTTGGGTTGCAGTTCACCAAAACTGAAAGGGACGACGCGATATCTCAGAAAACTGCTTCACACCAGAGCTATTTTTATATCAGGTGATTTGCCAAGTGTTACACACGCCGCCCTCTTCGTTGTAAACCACCAATACTATGCAGACTGACACAGTGTATTCAGATAGACCTAGAAAAAAAAAGCCTCAATGATGCAAGACATGAAGGAAAAGAGAGAAGGAGGAAGGGGTGTTGTGTAGAAGAAAGAAGTAGGATACAATAAGATTTGTAGAGCAGTAGAAAAGGTAGAATAACTGGAAAGGCATATCCCTCTTTTTTGAATTTTGATTTTTTTTTCCTGCGGCATTTACAGCATAACTAATCCAGTTTATACAGTTTAGAACTACGGAAAACCTTCTTCTTCCGGCTGCTCCCTTTAGGGGTCGCCACAGCGAATCACCTGCCTGTATCTCACCCCATCACCAGCATCCTCCTCTGTCACACTAACCCTCTCCCTCCTTCACTACATTCACCAGTCTCCTCGGTGGTCTTCCTCTCTTCTTCTTCCTTACATGGCACCTCCATCTTCGACACTTGTTGTCCAGCATATCCACCATCCCTCCTCCTCCCAGCCAAAACCACCCCAGCCTTGCCTCTCCAACTTTGCTTGATAATTTATAGCCTGTGGAAACGAAACAAGTAAACATTCATTTATATTTCATCAGAGCTTTCCCGCGCTTTTTGTCATCTCGTTTTCGTGCACGACAGTGTAGTAACGCAGTTCGGTGACATCGCAGGCGCAGTGTAGGTGTCTAAACTCAATTAGAGAGAGAAGGGTTAAAGAAAGAGAGAGCACGTGGAGAGAGAGAGCGAGAGAGCGCCCATATGGTCTCGTGACGTAACGCCGGACGCTCGAGCCTCTGCTTGTGTGTGTTTATGTGTGTGCGTGTGTGCGCGCGCTCTGCTTAGAATCCAGAACGGCACCCTAATAATACCGTGCACAAACTGTCGCCTACTGCTTACAGTAATTAAACAACAACAAAAACAACAATGAACGCCGTGACCGCCGCGTCCTGCCTGCTCGTCGCCGGCTTCAGCTGCTACCTCTACGGCAGCGACGTGTTGTCATCGCTGCTCCGTGTCTCTGTTACAGACTCCTCCATGCCCGAGCCGGGAGCTGCTCCGCGGCGAAGTCCGCAGGGAGTCCCCTACTCTGACCTGCCGCACATCGTCAACGCAGACGGATTGCACCTGTTCTGCCGCTACTGGGAACCCACCGGTCAGCCAAGGTCAGTGAAACGGCAACTAAATGTGTGGCTGCGTTCACTCTCTGTGTGTCCCTTTGTTAGCCCATAATCTGTTGGTCTGCAGAGGAGTGTGCGGCTGTCATTTAAAATGAAAATAAAAATATCTAAAACGTGTAGTAATTGTGTTCACATGATTGCTCTCCTGTGAGTCACATGATGACTTTTTGACGCTTAATTTTCAGACATGCGCACAGTCCACTATTCAGCTACAGTTACACAGTTTGTTCCGTTCAGTGTAAAACCGGCACCAGTGCAAACAGTTTGAGTTCATTTATTTGTATAAATGAGAAGTTCACTCAAGTTTCACTTTCAAACCGCCTCCCAGAAGGAACTCTGCGACTGGTTAAACAAGTTCAAGAGCTCTCCAATCACAACTCGCCATCTTCTACGCTAGTACAGGAAACCAGAATATGTACTTGCAGATGTGATATGAGGCCTAACATCGTCTGAAAAGCACCCAAGATTAAAAACAGGCTCTGTGCAGTATATCAGCATTAATGAGTCTCTTTGTCTGACCCATGCTCAGAGACATTTTAATTGTGTTAATCTCCTCATAAAGGGGTGACCAGATGCACCAGTGACAAACACTGGGCCATGGTGACCTTCATTAACACACACAAAAAAGCAGATCCAAGATCAGTTGATTTGAATTTATATATAAGCCTGCAAAGCTGATCTTTTTTAAACAAAGCTAAAATATCACACGGTTATCTCTCCTCATAGAAGCTTCATTTGACAACATCAAAAGTGTTTTTGTAAGAAGAAGCCCTTGACACAAATGTAAAACCACACAGAGACTGCATACATCATCTCTGTTTAAGAAACCTCATATCCATGTCAAGCATGTCTTCCATCTGAGCTGCAGCTGCTCGTAGAGACACGTGAGAGAACCGATGAATGAGCTGAGAGTGTCGCTCCAGACAGCTCCTTTTCAAAACCTGCCCCAGCAGGAGGAATTACTGGTTTTACAGCATCGGCATTTGTCCACCCCGTAATCGCAGACGCTTGAGTTTTTAAGGTTGTTTCCTTTCGCCTTCCCAGCAACAGTGAACGGCATCATAGTTCATGTGCGAAAGGCCTCAAATCCTGACTCATCCGGCATTCTGGTGTGTGAAAGAGTGTAAATGGCACTCCTGCCTCTTAGCCAAAGAGACATCAGACAACAGAGCTGGTTGATTAATGGGTCGAGTTTGTTAAAAAAACACACTGACTGGTTCGATAGTGAAACTTTCCGCAGTCTGCTGTTGCAGGCCCTTTCGCTATCACTCACACACTTCGAACATTTTGAAGTCTGCAGCCTCTGCACATGTGGCTGTGGCATGAAACAGAACGCAGAGGTCACATTCGTTTACAAATCACACTGTCACATGCTGGACGAGAGCACAAAAAGACAGATGTGGAAGTACCACCAAACATCTGGAATCAAGTTATTACTGCTCACCCACATGTCTCAGGGGAGCAACGACTCATTAACTCATACTGTGTCTACACCCTTGCTGTAAAATTGTGTATTTGCTCCATAATCTTCGTCTTATAGTTTATCACAGCATGTGTGAATGTATGCATGTTTACTCTGCACGCATACATATTTTGTGTGTTTATAGCTGTGTATGTGAGTAGCAAAGCCTAGATAGCTCTATATCCTAGCTTTTACTAAAACATAAATGTGCAAGTGGGACAAAAATTACTGCTTGTACGGCTAAAGCTAAAGCCTCACTGTAGTCACATGAAAACACCAAAATCACCCAACAATATTGTAAGTCTTGTAAATGTGGTATCTGGTCTTGGCTCATACTGCTGCACATGCTAGGTGAGTTTATTTGAGTTTAGTGTCTCGCAAGATCACATTTAACAAGTAGAGCTATAAAACAGCCAACTCTCTGACTGGTGGACAAGCCACCAGAGCCACCTTGTCAATAGAGTTTTTGGAAATACGCAGTATGATTGTTGTTTGTGGTCCCCAATGTCCCCAGTGTCAAAAATACATAAATAACAAAATTAATTCCAGTGGTTCATCATCTCAGCTGATGATTTCTCCTCCTAATCATATGTAAGAGAAGTTAAAAGCTGAATCATTGCAGAATTAAAATAGCTGCAGAGTCCTCTGTGTTGTAACACTTTTAGAGCAGAGCTTTGCCTGGCTTATATAAGAGCTTTCTCACTGGAGGGCCAGCCAATGAGCACGCTAAAACTGCATGCAGGGATGGTAACAGGGAGACATGCAAGAGTCAGTTTAATGATGTAATGTGTATTGCCCAACTCTTACTTAAAGACTGATACAATAATGCGTAGTTATATAGCTGAATTCAGTTATTTTTCTTGGTGTTTTGTGGGCAATGTTTTACAGCCTCCTAATCAGCAGTTTATTAGCAATGTAAAGTGAATAAAACCCCAGAAGCTGCATTAAAATGTTTACAGGATGCTTAAACTCTTCAGTGAAACCCAGACTTATAAAATTCTTTATTTGAGACAGCAGCTCCCGTACGTTAGACGAGGTAGGTTTATTAGTTTTAAATGATCAGAGGTGGTCGTCTAACTGTTCTCTGTATTACTTTAGGGTCTTTACCTTGAAACTATAAAGCAGCTTGCAGAGAGTATTTTTGTGATTTGGTGAACTGAATAGACCACCAAGATATCCATATGTTCTTCAAGATATCCAAACGTTATCCCTGTTAGTTCAGAGTTAAAAGCAGCGTCTCCCAAAACTTAGTGTGATCTAAATCTCACGTTGTAAAATCAAAGTTGGACAGTGAAGGTACAACTGCCGAGGACAAAGCGGCACTCAGTCTTTTGTCTGTCGTACGGCCTACGCTTAAGAAATTCTCTCCTGTTTTTACATGTTTCACAATGACTTTTCTGTAGTCTGGATGATGGATCCACAGGCTCACAGCTACCCACTCACTGCAGTAATCAGATTAGTAATTTAACACAAAGTGACACAGTGTGTCCAATTTGTGAAGTCTAAGTCTTTGTAAGTGCAGCTTAGCCAGAAACTTTTTAACAATATTATGTGTTCATGTGTTATTAAAAAGGGCTTACAGTTGTAATCTAGGTAGAACTATATCTGAACTGGTATATACAGTGCCTAGGGGAAGCTGAATATGTTATAGGTTAATAGATTGTTCCTGAAAGCAGCAGCAGGAGTATTTATCTTTTTCACTTTTGTGATAAGAATAGTTTCACGTCGGCCTCAGTAGCACCTCGTGTAGAGATAAACTCTGAGGATCAAAGGAATCTCCAGACAGGGTGTTTTCCTTTTGACAGTTAATTAAAAACAGCGAAGGGTTTGTGTGGTTATGAATAGAGTGTAGCAATGATAATGACATTATGTGATCATCTAGGACTACAGCTTATTATTTTATTTATCATTGTTTTTGCCAGTGAATCAGACAATGATAAAAATGAGAATTTCATGAAGGCAAAGTGACCTCACAGCTACTTTCACCACGGCTGTTAACATCACCAAAGTTATGAAGAGAGGTGTTGTAACCATAGTGGCAGGCCAGCAATTAATGACTCATATCTGTGTGGGCCATGTAGTTTATTGCATGTCATGTTTGATTAGTGACGAAGCAGAAACTGAGCACATGGTTGGAAAGCAAATGTATGCACTGGAAACTTCAGCTCCTCAAAGCATGTCCATGCAGGTGTTTACCAGGCAGCCAGCACCACGCACCTTTGTAGAGCTTGTACAGAATCAAGCTTCCACAAATCATTGATTATTGCTGTTTAATTAACAAGATAATCCTGCTTGGAGCAATAGCCACACGCTCTGACTGATGGACATGTACGAAATTTAGGTAACTTCTAGGGTGGCTTTGCTGTTGTTCAACATTTTCCAGAGTGAAACTAATTTCATAAACACTAACACTGACTACTGTTATAAACCATATCAGTGCTCCTCTGTTTTTATATCTTATTTCACGTTTAACTTGTACTAAATAAGACATTTTCATTCTTAAGTTAAATAAGGCTCTGTTACCTTCACTCTGTTGTTGCCATTTCATTTAATGATGCATGAAGAATGCAGATGTACAGAATAGATTTTTATGTTCACAAGCTGTTAACTGGCTTTATCTTTTATTATACAACGTAAAGCCATATTATATAGTTCTTTATTTTTTTCAGTATTTGTTATTTGCATTAGGATTAGAGGAAAGGCCAAAGGTCAAAGGCTTCTGAAAGTTCTTTCCCTAGAAGCAGGAAGTAGGTGAAAAGTCGACGGGTGGACTACTTGGATATAAACAATGATTGACAGATCTTCCACTACTCGGATGGACACTAGTATACCACACACACATACATTGTACACCTGTATTTTACAGAATACAGCACACGTACACCAATCAGGCATCACATTATGACCTTTCTATCAGAACCATCAATTTGAGCTACAGTTTTTCTGTCACGGTCTGGCTGGCAGACCGTGGGGATATGGGGGAATGAGGACCCAAAACGCATGGTTCTGCGATGCAAACAGTGCACTTTATTTACAGTGAAGGCTGTAAACACAATAACTCCCCATTGCTCCCTTGAATCCCGTGTGTGTGTGCTCGTGCTCCCCGCTGTTGTGTTCTCGCACACCCTGTGCGTGCTGCTGTTCTGGTCCACTCTTCCACCTGGGGGGGAAACCACAGAAACAGCCATCAACACCAACCCTTGCGAGAGCTCCAACACTCTCCTAAGTAGCTCCCCCGACGAGCCCTGATCACCAACAGGTGTGTGGCAGGAACTTCAGGTGTGGCCAGTCCTCCTGCAGGGCCACACCCGTCAGGCCTGCATGTGGCTGTTCTCCATCCTCCAGTCACACATGTACACACCCACACCCTGCCTATACATATAATGAGTGGAACACAGACTAACACAGCATTGTGCAGAAAGACACACACATCATCAAATAATAACGATAATAATAATAATAACAATAATAATCATCATCATAATAATAATAATAACAACAACAACAACAGTCAAAACTGCTC